TTTGGTTTATTAGTGATTTATTCTGCTATATGAGCAATATTATTTTAAATAACAACAATTGGTTTGAACTACCTATTTTATTTACTACAGTAATGTATTCCACTATTAACTACTTTAGTTATTACTTTACTTTAATTTCCTCAGTAGTATATTCAGTATATTCAAACAGTATAAATCATAGACGATATTATTGGTCTGTGTACCTACATAATATGATATTTGAAAGTAATACAATTAAGTATAACTAGATTCGCGTATTTCTCTTAATGATGTACACCTATTAGGTATTGTTGTGAAAGTGAAATGAAAAATGAAACTTTAACCACTTAAATAGAAATAATACATAATATCTGATTCTATTTTTCTACGCCATTTTTCAAGTCGTATTTCAACCAATGAAGAGAGTTGTAACTTTTTTCTCATTTTTAAATTTAAATAATACGTACGATATTTATTGGAAATAGTAATACATTTGTTTTGTGTCGATGATAAATTTAAATCCCACATAAACGGAAGTCATACTTCGTATGTGTCCAAAAAAAGTCAAGGTTTTCAATGATCATTGTACCTACATCACATCACGCAAAATCATTCTAAAATGAAAATATGGAATATTGTGATTTATAATAGAACATTTTTTTTTTTAATAAAAAAAGGGCTTGGATTCCCGTCGGTTATAAATGATAAATTTTAGATAGTCAACATGGCGCGACGTGCAATGACTAATGAGATAAATAAATCAATAATGTTTTCGGTCGTTTATAATCCATCTATATCGCCGTCAAATATCGAATGCCTCTTCAAAGGTTGCGGAGGGGTGGGTTAAACGCGGAAAAATATGAAAAATACTCTAAGTTCATAATACGAATTTTATGAATAGAAGCATCCCTAATAAATGTTCTATTGAATATTTGCCTCAATCCGACCGTTTTACGTTAAGTTATAACAAGTCAAAATGTAAGGTAAATTTGTTTTGGTTTTTTCAATGTTGGGGATAAAATAGTTGACACAAAAAAAAACTGCATCATTAAAAAACTAGTACCTTTTCAGCTATCGCATTGAAGCTAAAATTACACACATATTATTATGTACCTATTTCGAAACAGACTTCAATACTACAACACTACACAGTGTTAATGCTTATTTTCAGTAAGAAAAATGGTCAGCGGAGTGGTGACATAATTGAAAATGGTTGAAATAATTACTTAACAAAATAATTTAATTTTTGATGTATTATTGTTCAATTATGTTATACTGTTCCTCTCAGAAGTATAATCAAATATAAATTATTACCTATGATTCACGAGCCAACTGTTCATAATGGTTTTCGTATGCACATTAAATAAACACAACTATATCAACATATACCAAATTCTTTTTTGCTATTTTGTAAGTAAACAATATATATTTTTCTAATGCTCAAAACAGACAAACAACACATTGTTGAGTTAAGAAAAATAATCAAATTATTGCTATATGGTTTTACGTATCAAAAGCTTGTGTCATCAATCATATCATAATCAATATGATACTTCTCAAGGTATTTCTTATTCTGTCGATAATAAGTTGTTTTCGAGGTGCTGACGACGACGATTTAGACGAGCAAACTAAAATACAATGCAGTTTTGTGACTAGTGCACTGGCGCATATTTATTTAGTCGAGACTTATCTGTCAAAACCGGAGAAGCTGAGTCAACTCACCGTGCAAGAAATTTGCAATATAACGTTTACGAAAGAGGCTCAATCCATGTTGAATTATGCGTATAATGAAGAAAACAAGAAAACAAGTCGGAAAAGTTTCACGGAAGTCATGTGGATATTTTTTCAGTACAACATAAAAGCAGAAAAGTTTATCCAGAGCAACCAGAACGGTAACATGTATATGTTGTCCGCTCACGAGGCCGTCAAAATAATGCTGGAAGAGTTCACCGAGTCCATCAGGTGTAAGGTGAATAATCAACCCGAATGCGTTAGGTACATGGATAAGATTAAGAAAACTACTGTCAGTAACGAGAACGCCATTGCATTGTCAGTGAAGCAAAACAAGCAGAGGTTTTTAAAACATCAAATAAAATATAATGCTATTTCTGATTCAGGGATTGAACGCTTCGAACTCAGACAATTACAACTATACGACCTGGTTGGATCAAAAATTATGAGGGATCAACTAATGAAGTTTTGGGTTCCATTCGACGATGAATTGTTACCGAAATATTTGGAAAAACTTTTTGAGCAAACCAACTCTCTAAACGTCCCATTGTATAAATATATAGATTATCTCATAATGTTACAGCGGGATTTCAGAACCGTACTGAAAGCAATTGTCATGAGAATTGTCATTGTTTATTTGTTGTATATTAAAGAAGTAACAGCAGTTGATATATTCAATAGAATTATGGTTGATAATCTGAATAAATTCGCCATTCAGATTGGCCAGACTGACGATCTAAGCATCAATAGTGTAATCGAAATATTGAAGAATAACGTCTGGAATTTCCGTTCTTACATTAATGATATACAAAAGTCTTTGGGAAGCATGGCCTCTGCTAATATTGATTTTGCATCATTTACCGACCCAATAATAATGTACACAACTTTGACGGAAGATTGGTTAATGGAAGTTAATAAACATATTCAACTTGAAAATGGCTTTGAAGGTAAAGATTTAGAGAACACTAATACGAATAGGCCACGAGACGTACTCAGAGTTGCTAATATATATGTCAAGTTCATCCAGACAATTACTAAAGGCATCGATTTCGGTGTGATCGACACGTTGATAAGTCTCGAAGAGTCTGATCATTACAAACGTTTGAAAGAACTAGAAACTAGCTCACAGGGGTCTGAAAAAAAAATTAGCTCGTCCAAATTATAATTTTCAAATAATTGATTTTAATAATCATTATTTTTAGAATTCCTTTGAAGTATACTATTCTGAAGCTACTGTAATTTTTTGAGTTATTTTTGTGTATCTGTTCATGTATTTAAACTTAACCAAATCATATATAATATAAATATTACATACATATATAATAATGTTATTTGCCTATAAGTCGTACATACAATTTTTATTACAGCGCGACCAGCTCGGGTTCACAGTGGCCTCGAATCCTAAAAAGACGATTAAAATTAATATCTCCTAATTTCAAATAAAAACCCCATACAACTACAAATTAAAAAAACATTTAATATTTTAAATAATTTTCATTTCATTTCAAAATATTTTTAAAGGAGTAGTTACAAGTTTGTATGGAATTTTTGTCTTAAGACATAGTTCTTAATAATAAATGGGGTTTAGGAGTATATATATATATCTATAGTTTAGGATAGATCTATAGTTTATATATATATCTATAGCTTAGGAGTATATATATACGAAGTTTTTAATTTATTTTTATATAGTACATACGTGTTCATTTATTATTTGTATGTATGGCAATTTTTTTTTCTTAATAGTTTTAATATTTTTACATTTTTGTATCATTTAATAAATTTATAACGTCGTTTAGATAAAATAGATGGTAGGGTAGGACACTTGTATACACAAAAAAGGTACAATTTGATTTTTTAAATCCAGAGAAACATCCGATATATTTACATGTTTTTCAACTTGTAATAATTCTTTTAGACCTGTTATATTGCACAATACTTTTATATCATGGCCCACAAATTCATTTTTTTCGCTAGAATGTGAGCTCTTATTATAACTTGATATCTTAAAATTCGAAGGTTATAATAAATCATAAGTTGACAACAATCTCGTATTAAACATATAGTTTTAGGATTTGTGTACATAGATATTTTTCTTCAACTGCCGTTTTGAATATTCATATAACCAATTTTATTACATTTTTAATAAATAAACGTCTGCAAATTACATAGGTAAAATAACTTTAATTTGTTGTGTTTTTGTAATTTGTACGCATTTTCTTATTAAGAATGTAATATATTTCATTTTTTTAGTACAGCATGTACTATTCGTTTAAATAACATAGAAATATTTGCAATTTACACTTTAATTAGCTATTATATTTTTACGAGTTATGTTAAAACTATTATTTATTGAAATATTTGAATAAAGACGTTCAGTTAAGAGGTTATTGATTTATTTTTATCACAAAATATGTTACCAACACTTTCAGTTTTAAACATCTTACTAAGGTTTCGCCGGATACGATGTGGGAGGGTGTCTAGTATTTTTAGGTTGGTCACATATTACTTGACTACAGCCTCATGGATTTCCAAAGTGTTCTGCATAATTTAATTCGACGGAAATTGGTATATTTTTTCATAAAGCCTTTAAAATTTGCAAAAAGTATAAGTAGAAATGTTTTAAGGAGTTCGAGTTTATTATTAATTTTTGTATGCTGACTGCACTTGAACTGTAAGTACTACTACAAAGCGTCGCTAATGTAATAAAGTAAATTAAACGAAGGGAAAACCCTTTTAATTTCTTCGACAATTTGTTGAAATGCTAATCGGTAGACGACCGAAGTGAAGTGGTTTTTATTATTTTTTCTGTCCTCGGGTTGTATGCATAATAATATTATGTAAAACTGAAAAATAAACTTAATACATTTATGCTCCAACACAAATTGCTTTCTCTGACAAATAGGGTCTTTTTATAAATATCTCTCGAGAATAATGGTAAATTCCTCAAAGTCATGTTATGAACTTTTGCGATTGATCTATTCATCATTCTGACGCCTCTGAATTTTGATCGATTACCATCTCACACATTTTATCAATGCGTGCACGCTTAAATTGACGGACGGCAGGGGAGTTAACGATTTGGAACTGCTAGTGATAATTAGCTACAACATTTCCGTTTAAGTAATCCATCTATTAAAATTAAACCGTACCAGAGACGTTGTATAGGTTGGGATGATGGATGTTTGTCGCCGGGCGCATCTGTCGACATACACCAGACAACAGTTTAGGGACGGAAAACCGACTTCAGTAAAAATTAAAAAACTATAATGTGTTTCACATTGTTTCAGATTGGAGTACAGTACGATGGCCACGTCGGAGATCAACCTATCGAAAAAAAGATTCCTACTTCTAAAAGGTAAATATTGAAATCTGTATCATGTATGTATTGAGGGGAAAAACGGCTCACTACATTTTTATTTAGAGCGGTTCAATAACTAAGTGTTTGAGTTGTCAAAACGCCGCAATTTTACAGCAATAAGAGTTATTTATTGGTCGTTCGATTTTATTTAAATTAAATTATTAAATTTGTAATATTATCACAGCCTCTTAATGTTTTTATAAAAAAAACCTTCGCTGTAAGTACAGCTTTTTGTTAAAAATTCAGATAGAAAACCGTTTCTTAGCTTCTTGAAAATAACATCTGTCTTATCGTGTCATAACCAAAAAGTAGCATGAAATAAAGCAAAATCTTCAAGTGAGCACAGTAAAAGTCCTAATCTACAAACATTTATATACATAATAGTTTATTAAAAAAAAAAATTGTATTTTCTACGGCTTACATTGTCAATCGATAGTAGCCTGTTTTAATAAATAATCCCTAGCTTAAGTCTAAGTACTTGATCGTACTTATTTTATTTTGTGCATTTGATTAACATGTAAAAATAAAAAGTACAGTGGAGGTTTAGCCCTTTCTGAAATAATGTTCTATGTAACTATACAATTTTAATTGTCTAAATATTAAACAATAAAATAATGAAATAGAAAACAATAAAAAAAACCTTTACCACAAAAAATAATGCACTTTAGCGCAAAATTATTTCTTTATTAAGCATAAGCACAAGTGTGTGGCTTAAGATTTTTCTAATCAAAACTAGCTTGTTATCTTATTAGGAGTTTTCAGCGAGTATATATCATCGAGTCGGTTTCCACCCTTCTCATGTGCGATGTGACATTGGCGGCTTTATACTAATAATTAGTGTTTATAATTTCGTTTTCAGACTGCGATTTACATTTGTTACCCGAATGGGGTTCTCTGTCTTCCAAAGACCTACCGACGGCCGCACACGGTGAGTGCGTGCTCAGGTTCCCTCAACAGCACCGGGCCCGGCTGATCGTCGACTTGACCAAGTTGAACGTGCCGTGCAAACGCGGCCATCTCCAGCTGTCCGGCTATGATCCCGTGTGCGGAAAGCTAGAAGACCTGCACGAGTCGAGTAAACACTATGCGTTCGACGTGGGCAAACCGCCGTCGATAAGTTTTTCGGGCGGCAGGTTCGCCTTCTCGTTGACCTATAGATATGCCGCCAGCTGTTTTGACAACGAGGTGACACACCAGAACGGCACCATCATGTTTGACGCCGGGCTCGAGTGCCGGTACGAAATCGTTCAGCCCTACGGTTACAGAATCAGGTTGCTCATCAACACTGTACCGTACGGACATTCCGAACTCACGGGAGACACCACCGAGGCGGTCAAACCGCTAGCGGTCAGTGTGTATATCTAATAACTCCTCTATTGGTCTCGAGAAAGTCGAAAATCAGTCATCATTCCTCGGTTTACTCTGTCTCACGAGATAACGGTACTGCGCAGAAACCAAAACGAGTCACTCGTGTCACACCATTTATTTTAAGCTATAATATTTTTTTTAAGGCTTTTAGTACCCCAAAGGCCAAATCCTCTCTAAATTTCCCCCAATGAGTATAGTATTTGGCTCGAATAATATAAGTATGGAAAGTATTTGTGTTTTATGTAATTTGTTATGAAAAAAATAAAAATGGACATTTGTGGGTTATATCGGCTATAAATATACTACATATTGATAGTATCAAATAAGAGAATCCCTGAATTCAGAGGAGAATGCGATAAAATACAAAAATTACATACTTTAGTTTATAACATATTCCTGAAAAAAATTACTATTTCACCTTGTTTATATTATTGTTCACTGATCCGGTTTAGTCTACAGACACAACGCTAGCGATTGGTACTTTCATGTATCTTTACAACATTATAAGTTAATTTAGAATATTTAAAACAACAATGTTAAAAAACATTTTAGTAGAGGAACTTTAGTTAAAAGGTAAGTAATATGAGTCAGATAGCTACTTTTGAAGATGTATGCGTTGTCATCGACAATAGTGTTATTAAATAGCAACTATACTATTATCCGATTTTCACCGCAGAAAACCTTTTCCGTTTGTAGATAGGGTAAGGTACACAGTGTAGTAAATGTTAAAGGAACAGCGGCATACGAGCCAAGTACTTTATTATCGATTATACTTGTGGGCTTATGGGGTCGCTCATGGTTAAGCGGGCACATCATTAAGGTTCTGTGTTTATAGACCATCATAACTTCATTGCCGGAATCTCCAGTTACAATAAAAGCTCTTTACATCGACGGTTTAAAGTTAAAGAGTTCAGGTTATAATGATAGGATGTCTACATTTTCCGAATATTCTAATTGCTACAAAATCTCTTTCGTTATCAATTAGCGTTTGATACCGAGCTTTGGTTGGTTAAAAATGTATTATTCATTTTTCATATGTGTTATAATTATTTATAGACAATATAAAAAAAAAAATACTTAAAAAAAAAAGTATAGGCTAGGCAATTTTACACAAAATCCTAATTTAGAGTTTGGAACATAGTGTGGAACACACTTATTAATACAGTAATGAGGGTACTTTATTGATAGTCGTTTTTGTATTGTCAGGTTATCACAGTTATTTCTATAGGATAAATTACAATTTTTTCCCATCGAAATTGCTTTGCGCGGGACAAGTATGTGAGGCCAGTATTAACCTTCGTGTGCTCGCGCAGACGTCAAATTGGCCGTCCTTATAAATTTTTGCAAATATTATTGTCTAAAGTGCCAAGGAAGCGGTGAGAAGGGTATGTATTCTCTAGTTATACATCTCTCCGATAGAATATGATCGAATTTGGTCAAACCAGTCCACCCCAGCAGTTCAGTATAGCCACAAACTCAGTAGTGTCAGTATGACGGCCAACTTGCCGTCCACTCGAGCGAAAACGAGAATTTTTGCCTGTATTTTTTATACTTACGATCTGGATTTATATTATGAAAAAGGAGGCAAGAAAGGCAAGTATCAATAGAAATTACAAGAACCTTTTACCACTCCCTTGGTGCTCTGAAGAAAATTTTTCTCGAAAATTTAAAAGGACGGCCAATTTGCCGTCCATGCGAGCCGATGAAGGATATTTCTATTATTTTTTAAATAAACATTTTTGGTTAACATTTTTTATGTTCCAATGTTGTCTTAGAGGTAATTGACTCTAAATATTTCGAAACATCCACCTTAAATAAAGAATAACTCACGAAAATGATAAAGAAAATAAGGACGGCCAAATTGCCGTCCTCGCGAGCGGCAGTGTAACTTTAGGAGGCGCGAGCGCATGAAGGTTAACAGTAGATTTACCAAATTTTCACAATGTATAGAAAAGAACTTTATCTATGGGATAGCGTTTTTATAATTTTTTTTATATCTATACTTAATATTTTCTTATAAACTAAAGAAAAAAAGGGGGAAAAATTGAATGAAACGAATGAATAATTTTGATTGTGCTTAAGTTATAAAAAAACTAATAGCGCTACCTCGTAGACAAAGTTATTTTCTCTGCATTGTAAACATTTTATAGGGTTACTATAAATATCGCCCTCACGTTCCTGTCCCCCGCAAAACCATTTTTCACTGATTAATTTCGGATGGGTAGCTTCCTGTTAATAGTGGTCGATATTTTTCGAGTGACATTAATTTTTCACCTTTCCGAAAACAAAACCAATAGATTACATTTTAAGCTTAGAAATATTTCGAAAATTTTCATTTTATTTACCCATCCACAGATTGATATCCTAACGATCCAACAATCCACGGCCGCCGCGTGCAACGGTATGCTGTTCCGGTTGACCGACGGCCACGTACGATGGTCCCACTGCGCGATGGCCGACAGCATTAAGCGACGTATGTCGATGTTGTCCAAAGCCAATGTAGTCCTGTTGGAATCGTCATCGGCGTCGTCGCGGGCGCCCACGCTCATAGTGTCTTACCGGGCAGAACCCGTGGCCGAAATCGTACAGCAGTGTTTGTACGGTTCTGTGTCACTCAAGGCCGGTCGGTGTCTGACCATCGTCAACGAAATGCTCAACTGGAACGAAGCCGAAGAGTTTTGCGTCCGGAACGGCGGCGGTCACCTGGCCAGCATAGACAGTTACCAGACGCAGTCACTGGTCGATACCATCCTGATTAACAGGTAACAATTATAGCAGCATTGTCATAAGCCGATGGCACGGTCTAACAGCCACAATTTGTCGACAGTCCCGGTTACAGCGACAACGCCGCTTACTGGATAGGAGCAACGGACGCGAACAACGAAGGTTTTTTCAAGTGGACCGACTCGTCGCCATTCAGTTATTCTAGTGAGTCGTCCTGATTTAACCATGTAACCATGCCCTTGAAATTTGACTTAAAATAATTATATTTTTGGTCGAGAGGAGAACGGAGTTGATGAATCGCTAACTTAAGATATGCTTACTTACTATCGTCATTTTTAGAAAAAATTATTTTTTGGCGTCAACTTTTAGTAGAGTGAGACTAACCAATTTGTATATTAAAAAAAACAATTCAACGCTCTAAGTTCTTTAAATTACGCTTTTTTAAATTATTTATAACTAGCTTATTTCTTTCCATCAGGGGTGTATTATTTGACAAATAAAGCATTTTTGATTCGTTGAAATACTTGATTTCTGTTTTACATATTTTGAATCTAAGAAAGGATAAGTCCTCTAGCCGCGAGTGCCTAAAAAAAACACAAAATAAGCTTCTGAGAATCTGAAAAAAATATCAAATGATTCCGATTCAATAAGGAAGAGTTTTTGCATTTCTCATTTTTTTTAAACGTTTGTGTTTAGTAGAAAACAATTTGTGTGTTTTGATAATTTTCACTTATTCCCTTTCTCGAATAAGCGATTCTTCATTTTTACATGATGATAACTAGTGCTTGATTTACCTTAAATGAGCATAAACAAAATCGCGACAATTAATCTTAAAGAAAATACGCCGAATCAAGGTACATTTCCCCCAATGTTTTGTCCTCGATGTTTTCGGTAGAAACTTTACCAAAACTCTGAAAAACACGGACAACGAATACAATTTGAATTTATATACTTATTTTAAACTTTTGATTAATTTAGATTGGTATCAGGGATACGTGCATCAGTCGCACGGTGGATCTAATTCGAAACAACCTAACGATGACGGGCTCAGCCGACAAGACTGTGTCGAGCTGCGGCAAGTGTACGTATCGCAAAATCGTTTATTCAAGTACTTCAATCGAAACGCCTCGTACACGTGGAACGACCGGGATTGCTCGGTGAAAAACCGATTTCTGTGTCAAACGCAACAACATGCATCTCCGACCAATTATTACGGTAGGCTTACCAGTAACTTACAATGCTTAAGATAACGGTTAGGTAAACTTAATCATAAGCAGTACAGTCAGGAAAGTTTGGAAGTATGAGTTAAACCGTTCTTTCTGACACCAAATACTTAATGAACCGTGAAATCTCTAGACACCCTCGGTTTTGGGTGAGTTACGGGTATATAGTAACACGGGATGGAATGGAAGTAATTTTAAATTTTGATTAGACTACTGACTGAGTGACTGAATCGTATGATGATAATATGTCTGTAACGGTAAAAGGTTTTCGTTTGAACTAGAAGTGATGTGTCATAACTCATAATAATAGCACATAGGTATAAGAAATGTAATGAATAGTTCAATGTGCAAAAGGATCAAGGTCAAGCAGTTAACCAATATCACTTTTGATGAATTCACCATTTCGCTTACATTTACTCTATTGGACAATCTAAGTGTAGATATATTTCCATCGTTCCAATAAGTAGTACACGAGCAAGTTCTGTCATACCAGTTGCTTGTCATCAAACCCAAACAATCATTCCATTAAAAATTATTATTGAGGTGGTTACTGTTACAGATTCAGACGAGACGAACTGCAACTTGACGATTAAATTAACAACTGAAATGCGATTCGTTTCGGTATCGAGCCCGGGATTTCCACAACCTTATCCGGACAACTTGGACTGCACCGTCAGCTTGGAAGTACCGCATGACTACCAAATAGAAGTAGAGTTTGAAGAGCTGATATTAGAAAACGAATCAACGTGAGTACCAAGCTTGCTTATTTTTTTTATTGAATTTGCGTTAACTTGGTGATTGGACTATATTTTTTAATTTTAATTTAAAAAAACCCTATTAGCTTGTTCTTACAAACTATAGTTTTGGAGATACAGCGTGAATACAAGAATAGCATTAATATTTTTTCTTAATTTGTTTTATCCAGTTCAATATTTAATTTCTTGATTAAAACTGTAATATTATGATGAATGCCATTTAATTTTATAAAGATAATAAAAACGTGGATTTAACAGATTTTCCTATACTAGACTCCTAAGGCATATGACACTTATATACAGATGTATGTAATTTGTATTTCACTTAAGTTGTACCATTTTTTCAAACAGATGTAGCTACGATTACGTGGAACTAATTGCTGGGGATGAGGGCCAGGGACCTAAGTACTGCGGTGATAAGAGCGATGTACTCAAACTGACGAGGTACGTCACCAAGAAGTCCAAGTTGAGAATACATTTCGTGTCGGACTACTCGCACTCGTTTAGTGGATACAAGGCTCGGGTTTCGGCCGAGCACGGTTGGTTTATTTTTGTAAAACCCATCTATTTGACAAGTACTAAACGAAAAATGCACATTGTTTATTATGTTTAGTGAACAACGAGTGTGACGACGCAAGGCAACAGATGTACAACGGATCGTGTTACCTGTTCGCCAGCTACCCCGAAGTGTCATGGCATACGGCCAGGAGTATTTGTAACGGAATAAAAGTAAGAGCAAAATTATATAGATATACTCCGTTTCCCCACGTTTTGGTTTCTGCGCGGATGCGTTCTCTCGTGGAACGGTGTATAGTAAAGAAATTAATTGGATATTCATCGTTATCGGATGCCAAAAGATCAGGATTTCCGGTTGCATTGATTTTAAATTAATTGTAAGAAAGCCTCGCAATTGCCTCCACTTAATCTTATCTTTCAAGACTGTCGCAACGGTCTTGCCGCATCAAATATTTTTTATTTAAGCGAAAAACACACACTCTTGTTATTGAAACATGCACCAAGGTTTGTTGGAGACAATATTGAAATTGCAGAATTTTTCTTTTTCTTTAAGGCCGAGCTAGCCAGCGTGCACAGTGCCGAAGAAGAACAGTTCGTCGAGTCGTTTATACGAGAGTCGACTGAGAGTAGGTCTGCCATTTATTGGCTTGGAGGAGCGTGGGATGACAATTATTGGCACTGGGTTGATAATTCGACTGAAACTTTTTCTGGTACGTATATCAACAGTAATATTAAACTTAATCTATTGCTGATAATCTATAGTTAAAATTTCAAGACTGCTTTCTTTATAGTAAAAATAATAATTTAGCAATTTTTTCGTGTTTTCGTTTTTACAATTTAGCACATTTGACAATAAAACTATGTATAGCTTAATAAGTTTATAAGACTTCAAAGGACATAATCACTAAATCCCCAATGTTGGTTCACCACGTGATTTATTTTCCCATCAATGTTAAAAACCAAACCCGAAGAAAGGATTTTCTCCTTCAAAGGAATAATATAATAGAAACTCCATTCTTTACTAAATCATTATTTAACAGGGACGTCCAGAGAATTTTTCCAAAAATTGAAATTTTTATTGAAACTACCACAACTTTATAAAATTCAAGGGGTTTTGTCCATACAGAATACGGATATATGAATAATAATGCTATATCAAATATATAGTTATAGATATCACTATTAATAATTGCCAGACCTATCTAGACACCATCTGGGTAGAAAAATAACCACCACCCGGTCCTAAACTGTGTTTAATTAGTTGAAAAAGTCAAACTAGCAGTAAAATAATAACAGCTTCCGATATTTTTTATATGACAAACATTTTTTTTAGTGTTTTTCCTTTTTATTATAAGGTTTAATACTAATTACCTACCTATATAAATTATGTAACTATAAATTATTCTTATTGGGTTCGTTTCCTGCGGTTTAAATATGTATACATCACAGGAAATTATGTAACCATTCTCCGACATTAATGATACTATTATTAAGGGTTGACCGTAATTTGTTTGTGTTGCAGCTTGGTTAGCAACGGGAAACACTAATACTCTGACATCTTACAAGAATTTGTGTCTGGCCATCAGTTGGCTCAACTCACCACCGGCCAACCTTCCCAGAGGACTCTATTGGACTGCAAACGTTTGCGATACCGTCGGAGGATACATATGCAAAAAAAATCAAATAAGTGAGTTTGTTGTTTTTTTTTAAACATGGACCACAAATACTGTCTGGCTTCATTTGGCGGTGTTTTCATATATCATGTTTCAGAGCCTTCGGATTACTTTAACTTGAACAAGACGGTGACTGGCACGAGTGGCGTCCTGACTTCATTGAACTACCCCGCCAACTACTATCACAACTTGAATTACTGGACGCACGTAGTAGGACCAGAACGGGCGCGAATAGTATTCCAATTCGGTTCAATAAACATAGAACCGCAAGTGGACTGCCTATACGACTCAGTGTCTGTGGTGGAGTTGACGGGGCGTGGGGACAACAGAACGATGACGGTTTGCGGTTATCGCGGTAACGACTTGGAAGAGTAAGTCAGAAGAATGTGATATTGTTTTGGCAGTATTGCAGGGACGAGCATTCCTCAAACACAATACCTACTTGTCTTTTCACAGCTATATTTTCGTCACGGATTCCAACGAGGCTTTCGTTCACTTCCAATCGGACTACTCGGTATCAAATTCCGGGTTTCACCTTAAATGGAACGTGGTCGACATGTCAGGATGCCCTTCACAAACGCTTACAGGCTCCGAGGGACAGGTGATCAGTCCGAACTACCCAAACTTCATTCTGCCCAATCTCAACTGCATCACCATGATACTGGCACCGGGTGAGTACTCTTACTTAAGTCCCTCGTGATTTTAAAACGTAATATTCTAAACACACACTTTGTTGCCAATTTAATTAACAATTAGTAAACTTTACATTTAAATTGAACGTTTCCAATTATTATCACGGTGATCTGTTATAATTAAATATTAGCGAATACACGGAATCAAGCTAGAATCGTGTTTATTTTAAATAATTATTTTTCTAATATAGTATTTATATTTCAATTGTTTTTTCACTACCATCGTTTTTTTGCAGTGGGTCGACGCATATGGATTGAATTCGTCGATTACAACTTGGACGATTCGCAGACGGTGAAAATTTACCTGTCCAGATCGGCAGACTACGTTATGCCGTTCAAACAAGTGAATTCCATTAACGACGGCGCTTTCATGTCGGAGGGCGAGAGTGTTAAAATCGAATACGTGACGAACCGTACGCCCCGGGGTAGGGGATTCAAAATAGCGTACAAAACGGGTGGGTAAAATGTACAAATTTACACTTGTAATTGTTCCTATTCGAGAACAGTTATTATTATTGTACCTACGGTGCTTAAAATTATTTGTATTTAATTTTTTATGCTTAGTATCCGATTTGGACGAGGAACGTGCTATAGTGTTGCCCAACGACACGGTTGGCTTTATGTACAGACTAAACCATCCGTTACCCATGCATTTCCCCAGACTCCGTTACAAACAAAGGCTGGTGACTTCCATAGGAAACACCATTCAACTACAGTTTAACCACGTGATTCCCGCACAAAGTACGATTGTACCTCTCAGTAGTAATAAATATAACAATCTATAGTGTTTCTTTAACCCTATTTTAAACATCAAAAGACTAATTTTTACGTAGATTTTAAACTTTATTTTTATTTGAATAATCAATTGATTCATTTATTTAAAAGGAATTGTTCGAAAGTAGTAAGACGAAATATATTCTAGAGTCTGATAAAATAATATCTCCATATAGTTTGAAACTGTCTGGTTCAATGATCCGAACGCTCGATCTTTATAAGAAATGTGGATCAAAAGTCTAATTTTTCAAGGTAAACCGAATCGGTTTGTGTTAAATTTATGTTGTTTTGTAAATTTCAGTGGACACAGCACTAGGCCGTACCGTCTGTCCAGGTCCACAATCGGGTACCATAATCGAAATTCACGATCACTACGCCTCTCAAAACGGAACATGGTGGCTGTTATGCGAAAACTCCGATCGAATTAAGTCCGTACCAATTTCAATATCGTCGTTTCTCAACACTATGACTATAGTCACGATTTACGGCCAGACACAGACGGTCGATTTGGTATCTGTCAACATTTCGGTGTCAGTGAAACACGGTAAGTATTGCTGGTTGAAAAACTAATGCCGTGTTGTGTACAAATGTCAGTGGTATGTTGTTAACTATACGGAGCTTTAGAGCGCCTAAAATCCCAGGGATAAATTTCACATGTTTTCGCGTAAACACTTTTATCCGTTGACTTCAGTTATTATAATTTGGGCTTTAATTAGCATCATATTTTCTCAAAACATCGGGCGGAATGTGCGCGAAATATTTATTGTAAGCTGTACAACGTTACTATGTGTTGTTATCTAGACTCCAAGTCGAAAAACAAACTGATCACGCTGTCAAAACTTCCGGTCATGAATCGCACGAAAATCGAATCGTGTGCGCCTAACCCATGCATTAACGGTGGAACGTGCGTGCTCAGCGATGCTTCCAAGACTTACTACTGCAAATGTCAAGGAAACTACACAGGTAAGATGTGTGATACCCACGGCTCAAGTTCGTTGGTTTGACATGGACAATTCGACGGCCTTTGACCTCCGACGGTTGTGATTGCAGGTCTGTTCTGTTCGTTGAATCACTGTGACCTGGACCATTGCGTTTTCGGCGAGTGTCAGCTGACCGGCAACAACGGCTACGAGTGCAAATGCCAATACGGTTACACGGGTAGGTTCTGCAACGAGAAGATCAAACCTTGTGACCTGAACCCCTGCAAGGACCGCGGCGAATGCTTGGCGTTGGGCGATTCCGACTACCAGTGCCGGTGTTATGCGTATTGGACGGGTGAGATTAGATCCTGTACCCACGCTGTGTAGATATTTTTAAGTATCTCATTTGTCATAAGGAAATGAATTGTTGTACTTAACGTCCGTTATAGGCGACCAGTGCGAGAAGAAAATGCTTCACATAACGTACAAACCGTTGACCGAGCGTATGATACAGGAACCGTTCTGGTTGGGTCTGTTGACAGTGTTCATGGTGTTGGCCATCTTGGGTATAATATGGTGCGCCAAACGTCACGTGCCCGAAAAAATCGAAAAGATACTGTCCGAAGAAGCCGAACGCAGCAGACGATGTAAGTCGTGATTGTTTCATTCGCAATATTACCACAGATTATATAAAACCAGTTGGTGCACTCCCTGTTAAAGCAAGTAATCGCTGAAAACGTTAACAAACCAAATTCCTTCTCAACTCAGAGTTCTACTACTGGTAGAAAAAAAATTCTTTATGAGAAATTGCTGTTTCCGAACTAAGCATCACTGAATTTCTTGATTGTTATCACTTATCACCGATATATTATAAAAATAATTTGATAACATATTATATTAAAATGTTTTGTACAATAATTGTATTTCTAAAATATGGTCGCACTTAGATGAGGAGGGTTTCAGTTATCAGTAAATGGTGAAGTGCGCCATCTGCTTTTATCTAATCTGTGGTATTACTTGCAAATACGAATATTCCAAAACAATAGGAAAAGATAAGTGCGGAAGTTAATGCTCTTAAAAAAACCCGAAATATGCATGCTTTTATGCGCTAAAAATATCCTACATAATAATAATAATGCACTAATAAATACCCAAATATTCCCTTCAAAATGTACATAATTTTATTTTTAAGTATAATTTGTTAATACATTTTAATATGTTTTTTTTTTAAATACGTTGACATTAATTGTAACCACAAATAATAAATACAAGATACTGTAAATAATGTTCTTGGTATCTGTGACGGGTGAATGCGGTCTAAGATTAAATAGTAATAGGCATTTTTTTTTAGTATCTACCAGTCTCAGAATTAATATGGGATTTTGGTATATTTAAATCGTAAAAGGGAGTTTGTAAACACATATTTTAACTACGAAAGAGCGAGTACAATATTTATTTGTTTGTAAAGTACTTCTGAGACTAAAACAATAAACAACTCGTCCAAAAGCGTCCCGGAAAAACATTTTTTTTCTTAAATAGTTGCTTATGAAACTTTTATAAAATGCTATTAAATAATTGTACATTTTTGCAAAACAAGCTAATTATGAAAAAACACCTATACAAACTGTAAATAAAAAAACTTTCTTTTATAACTAGGCAATACATACGACACCACACCTTGAAACCAATTACTTAAACACTGATACACCTTTAAACTTGGAAAAGAAAAATAGTTTTAGTTAATATATTTATTTATTCCATTTGTTATTTATGTTGGAATTTTAAGCTGAGACGTCGATATATGACTTTAATTTTTATTTTATTCAAAAAGACATAATAAAATAATGTAATTTGTACTTTAGTATTGGTTTTCGAATTGATACATTTGAGTTTTGCTACTTACGCAACAATATATATATATACTAACAACTGTTATAAAACTTTATTTAAAGTTTATCGCTGTTCTGTTTTCTTTAGAGTATCGTTAAAAGAACATTCCACAATATTAAACACAGGTCGAAAGGTTTTCGTTAGTTTATGGCTAACCATAGTATTGTAGATGCAAAATGTATATAAAAGTAATAAATATGTCACTCGGCCACATTATTTCGATAAAATTAGGAATACAAATAGAATAATTTGATGTATTTTATTAGTTTATATAATCGAGTCCGACGAAAACCATAAACCAATTAGAGTTTTTACACAAAAAAAGAAAATATACCAAAATTTTGTTTGTATCTTTTTACCGTTGGCTGTAGTTGGAAAAATGTAAAAACTATCACAGTGAGAATACACGCAGATGTATTGAATACTGCACATACAATTTTAACCAATAAATTGTCACCGAATACCTGCAAGAGAAATTTCAAATTCTGCCTTACCCATCCAGACTCTATACCTAATTAATCCACTTATAACCATTTGCATCAACTTAAAATTTAGTTATAGTTGGTGCAAACGGCCATTGGTCGTCTAACAAACAATTTGTTGTACAATTAAGTCTAGGTGGATTACATGACTGGGTTTATTCACTCTAGCTATACCTACTTATTATTTTTGTGGTCCACAGTTACTGTGAACTCGTCTGGTCGGATGTCGAGCATGCGTGGCGAACTGCTGGTGCCCACCGTATTGACAAACGGAGTTACACCCTCGGAGGATGGGAACTCGCCGCAACAGTCACAAGCCAAAACGTTCCTCAGACGATTGGGTATAAGAAAACCTTCATTAATGAGCCTCACCAGTCCGTTACAGTCGGCCCGAACGGCTCGTACGTTCAGTCTGGACGACTTGCTCAGGCCACAAGCTCCGAGTAAGGTGTCGCCTACGCCCCTTTCCTACACCCCGTCCCAGTTGTTTGCTCTGTTATCACCGTATACTTTGCACCAACACCATTAACTACTTCTTTATACTTAAATATATAATACTTTCGTTACTTCACAGCATACTTATATCATTACATAGGTAACACAATCATAGTTTATTTCGATATTTTAAGAAATATGATTGTTGTAGTGCATCTTCGGAATTTTACTGTCAATTATTTATTTTTTTTTAATAATACACTGTTATGAAAATAATTTACTATAGACCATAAGCAACATTTTCAAATATCCTTAAATGAATGATATTTATAAGGTTGAGTGAGTTATAACACAATTAAGACGGACCAGCATAGTCCACGAATAATTAAAAAATTATATATATATAAATGTACCTAACAAAAAATACACTTGACCGTATTTCGGTAGGAATGCTATTATCATCAACGCTCATCTTACAACACACTTAGTTATAGCATTGCTACTGAAATACGCTAAAGTGTATTATTTTTGTGGTTAAGGTTTTTTTACAAATTTTAAGTTATATACAACCACAAGTGTTGCTAAAGTTTTTCTATATATTTATTCGATACTAGCATGGGATTACAATTTTTGGCTAATTTTAATTTTGATTCTTGAAAAGTAAATAGTTGATATTTCCAGTTCTTACTAAAAACAATTAATAGCTTAGTTCAATTATACTGCACATTATAATTCTTATAACCCGTAATGCGTGGGTCATTTACACAAAATGTCATATATTTTATTTTATTATTAATATTTTTATAGTAAGATTATATAATATTATGAACAGCTGTATTAATATCAATACCTTCGTAAATCATAACACTATAGTTGACGCGTCTACTTCAGCTTGTAACTACCTTTTATTTTATTTTTTTCAATTTCTCATCTACTATTGTACCATAGTTCTTATTATACCTACTATTAGCGCACCTTATACTTCTCTTAAATAGTGTAATTACCCTAAAATACGGCAATCGAATCGAATTTTCAGTGAAAAGTTTTTCTGCGAGCAATCGATTACAATATAAACAAAAATCATCAATATTATATTTGTACAGCTAACAGAAAAATCCATTAATAGATTGCAATTTCACTATTACTGGTCAATTAATTCAATCTATTTGATTTACCTAGTTCAATTTAAGTTATGTATTCACACAGGGGCGGATACAAAGGAGCTCAAGCCCCTCCCTTATGTATTTAAATTGTATGCATTAAAATTGTTTTTAATGTTTATTTTTTTTATAATATTATATTTACTATGTAAACTTTAACTCTATGACTATTGTTATACGTAAATGAAATGAACTTTTAGATTCTAGATCCACCTCTGTATTTATATAGCTTTGATAATATATTATCTTATTTAAGAGGCCGAGTTAAACAAATCAGCAGTTAATATGTAACTTTACAAGTTACAACATTTAACAAGTGCTAACAAGTATATTTCAATTTATTAATAACTGAAATCAGCAGTTAATATGTAACTTTATAAGTTACAACATTTAACAAGGGCTAGCAAGTATATTTCAATTTATTAATAATTTAAATTCGCAGTAATAAAAATAATAATAATAAATATTTAAATCTTGAGAGTTATAAGTTGATTTATTTACTTGTGGTCGGTGAACATCTCTGTACAATCACTTTCTTAGTTCATCGTTAACGACGAAAACTTATTCGAACTTTTGTGTTTTTCAACATAACTACAAATTCGCCCACACTTTATACTTACTAATATTAATGGTTACCTAGAGCTCGTGTGTACTCGTGTAGCGATTCGGTTGCCGGTATGAACCGCCCCTTTAACGACACGGTTTTTTTTTACCATGTCTCCTTGAAAACTTCGCAGGGTTCAACCAGCACCGGACCAAGCAGAAGAGCACGTCGCCGTCGAGACTTCGGACTTCCATAGCGGACAAATCGGAAATCCTGCAACAACTGATATCGCCCGGCCTGGAGCGGCAGGCGAGTTTCAACGACGAGATCAACCTGGTGGACAAGCTTTCCACGAACAACATCAGTCCCAACGACATATACCTGCCGTTGTCGCACCGGTCGCAGGAGACCAGCTTTTCCAACGATTGTTCAATAGGTAAGCGCCGCAGCAGGTAACGGATGATGGGTTTACTTGTACATAGTTTATAGGTACAACGCACATGTAAATATATATTAAAAATGTATTGTATATCATCAACACGATGTATATTTTGTAATCTGGCACGAACTTCAGACGAGGCGGTGCAAAAGATCGAGAAAAAGGTCACGTTCGCTCGGCTGATGAACAAGTTTCAGTCGGAAATGAGCTCGACCAGTTGCTCTGAAGTGGACGGGCACGCCAAACGAGCGTCGCGCTTGCCCAACCCCAACCAAGGCAGCGACTCCATGTCCAGTCTGGATTACGCTTTGGGTACACCGCTTTTAAAAACAATTAATTTTATTCGATTTCAATGTTATACCGCACTTAATCCGCAGATTAGATAAGACCAGGCGGGGCACTTCGTAATTTACTAGTAACTGAAACCCTCTTCGACTTGTGTGACCACACGTTCTAGAAATGCAATTATCACACGAAACATTTTACTACAATATGTTATCAAATAGTTTTTATAATATATCGGCGATAACAATTAATAAATTCAGTGATGCTCAGTTATGAAACATCAATTTTTCATAACTTTTTTTGTTGAAGAGGGTTTTGGTTTGTACACATTTTCGGCGATTACGTTGCTTTAATAGGGAGTGCACCATCTGGTTTGATCTAATCTATGATTACACTAGCTAGTATCCGTGCGAAATTGTCCACTTATGTGAATGTATTCACAAGCTCTTTTTACACGATAATTGTTATTTTACTGTGTCTAGCATACAGCATACTAACTATAGTATATTAAATGTTGCATTTAATCTATTATACCTACTAGAATTATAACTAAAATCTCTTTACACCATATACTAGAGAATATAATAAGCATGAATATTTATTATTATTATATAAACTCGTTTAAAATGTATTAACTATAAATTGTACTAAGTATAGAAGCTGAATATATAAAAGGTATTTTTCAAATAAATATAAAATACAGACTTTGTTTAATTCATACGAACCTAGAGGTTAGTGTACAAGCTATCACACTAGGCATAGCAAAACAACTATAATCGTGCAAAAAGGGCTTAAAACAGTTCAATGGCTGTTCGCTAAATATAAAATATAGCTATTTTACCAGACCGGTTAGGTTAGTGAAAATTGGGGCATGGAAAGAAAAACAACTTAAGTCTAATATTAGAACTGCTGTAGTTAAAAATATTATTATATCTTGACGTTAAATAAAATACACGCCGTTTAGTATACACGCTGCAAATTAGTATAATATAAAACCGATTGCACATAAACTGCGAAATGAATGCATTAGTGAAACTTATAGGACTTATTACGTAGTCATTCTAATTCTGGACTTGGGTAACCTGCAGTCAAACTCCTCGAACCTTCTCGGTTTTCTTACGTTCTCGCAGACAGATATTATGAATTAAATAATTTGAAAAAAATAATAATCAAACTCATGGTGATAATAGTTGAGGACTGAACAGTTAGATAGTTCTCTCGTAGCTATTAATATATTTAAAACTGTATTATAGAACAAAGATCCTATAATAATAGATAACACAACTTATTTTTTTTCCTATTTCCAACGGTTTCTTTGGTTTCACGAGAAAATAATAACTTAATAAAGACACAAATAGGTTGTGTTCAAATGTTTAAGATAAGTTTTTATGTATTTTATCAATGACAATTATAATTTCAGTTTTGTTTAATAATATAAAGAGATAACAAACAAATACACGTGTCGTTTTAGTAGGGAAAAAATAATTCTTGAAAGAATACAACATCATTCCTTACGTTGCTCTAAGTGATTTCAGCAGTCTTTCATTAAGTATATTTAAAATTTGCCTAAATACGTTATTATAGTCGGTAAAAATAGACTATAGTCAGCACTGATTTTTTTTCTTTCTGGATTATATTATTTTATTTTGTTTAATGCGCATCATACTTAATCACATAAATAAAAAAATGTTTACTACGGTGTCCATTTTTAGAGACTTGTCGAAAACCAAATCAATTACTCCTAAACGAGTACCAGCAACGGTCGTCCAATCAAAAGGCGATGAGCGCCGATTCGATACTGGCAATGTTCCGTAGTTTCAATCAGACGATGGCTATGACCGAAATGGGAAACTACTTGTCGGCTTCGACCACACCGAGCTGTTCGAGTCTCCAAGACGAGATAGTCGGTTGCAGCGAAGACGATTCGTTGATGTCCAGCGCCGTGCATTCGCCTGGCAAAGAATCGCCTACACGTTACCGGTACTCGAACACGATTCAGGTGAGCTCACATCAAATTCACTGACTGTTAGTTGTTATATCTAAGAACTGCAAGTTATTCACATAAAAAATGCCTACATTATCTTTTCAGCTGCCCGTGGTCGACATGTTGAGCTCGCAGAGAAACAACTCGAACAGCCCTCTTAACAGTTTACAACACCCTCCGTCCATACTGCTGGAAGTGCCCAACTACCGGATGGATTGTCTGTCGCCTATCCATGAGCTACCGACGCCCATACCGTCACCTTCCCTCACGCCCGTCGTATCCAGGAGGTCGGCGTTTGGCTGTCTTAAAGACGCCGGCGACCAGGTACAATAATGTATTCGCGGTTTCGTTAAAATATTGTTATTCGCTTCGAAACAATAACTTTATGCTTATCTAGTTTATCTAGGTCTGTTGATGATATTATGCAAAATATAAAATTGTATGAATGAAACTGTCTACGTCGGAGTGGTAAAAATTGTTTCTTAGATGTGTACAACAGATTGAGATAGATTATGATTTAAAATTTCACATCGAAACTCCATAAAATGTATTTACAGTTTTTAATCTCGCTGTCATTTCATTAGTTCAGTATTCGATAATTTCTTAACGTACTCAACAAAGTATTGCAATAGCTTATAAGGTTTACATTGAGTATAGATTGTACAATTTTTACTCAATGGTTTTATTAAGGGTTGTGATCACTTTTAATAGCATGATCAATTGTTAAAATAATTGGCATCAACTAGATTAAAGGCTAGGTACTATTAGACGGTTGCAAAGCCAGTTCCATCGTCTAAATTAGAAAGTGCCGTTCAGAGAATAAGAAAAAATAATAAAGAGTTAGTGTAGCGGTACGTGGTAATGGAAGTCTAAGATTTAGTGAGAGATTCTAATTTACCAAATGAGTACGTGAGATACGGTTTAGGTATGGATTTGATAGTAAAGGGAAGAAAATAAACAAGACCGGAAGAAATAGTTTAAAATTATAAAAAAAATATAACGAGATATCACAATAAAGCAATGGTCAACGATATTTGGCCCCGAGTGTCGATTGGAATCCGTAGAGATAGTAGAGATTACTGTTGGAGAACAATGTTGGCTGATCCTAAAAGTTAAAAATTAGTGAATATAAAGAAAAATAGCTACGTATGTACTTTTTTCGTAACATTTGTTATGCGTAATAAATAAAAAGTAACACCAAACTAAATAGAACATCTTCTTCTTCACGCATGTCCTTATACTTAAATTTTTAATCGTTGTGGGCATAATTTCATTAATTTTTTTCTAGTCTCCATTCAGCAGACCGTCGGAGCCGACACCAACCGAACAACAACAGCAGCTGAAACCCATTCCCACGTTGGTCATACAACAGCCGACACCCATAAATTCACCCAGCATGGAGTTTCCAGGATCACCGCCCCCGCACAAGGAGAAAAAGCTGAGTCGAAAAATGTTGAAGGACATGGACAAGCCTATCTCGCTCGATTTACCCGCTCCCCCACCCGTAATCACGGTCACTTGCATGAGCGACTCGGACACCGAGTCGGCGACTACTAAGAACGGTACGGACTCGTCAAAGAACGACTGCGTCGGCGGCGGCGCCATGTGCTACCTAAGCCCTTTTTCCATGTGCTCGCGCGCCGACCGAATAGCGTCCGAGTCTAATCTCAGCTCGTCCGGGTATAGTTCTGGACCATCACGGTGCAATTCGAACACCAGGCTGTGCCCTCTTGAACCGGAAGAACATCAACCGGTCAGACGAGCTTCGCCACTGATCCACGCGCCGCCCAGGATCAGGGAGGCCGACTCCGAAGAAACCACCTTTTCCGAGAACGACGACGAAGGTTTCGACACGGAACCGCCAGATTCCAAGGCGTCTCCTCACAGGAAACCCTGGGCTCGAGACAAGAAATCCGGTAAAACCTCCATAGAAGCGGTCGAGGCGGCCGGGCAACCTACAATGACGGTAGTCGACCAACCAAACTCCTGCGTCGCCAGCACGTCAGAGACCATAGCCGCCGCCAACCGGCCGTCTTCTCCTTCGACGTCCGCTTATCGACATCCGTTGCCGTCTATCATGGTCCAACAATATCCATCCACGTTACACCTATCAACGGATATGCTGGAGAAGAGTCCGGTGAGCTCTAGAAGCGAGAGCCCGTTGAGCGACAAGACCGTGTTCAGGTTCTCGCCTATGTTTTACGGTCGAATTACCGACTCGGACAGTATATACGACTTTACCAGTTCAGATTGCGTGGCCAAGAAGCGTACGGGAAAGAAGAGAGAACGCAAACGGAGAGCACAGACAACGGTGGAGTGTACGCCGGATGTAAGTCTATTGGACGTACCGTGCAGAACGGTCAAGAAACAATCCCGGTCGAAACCCAACACCAGGCGACGGTCTAGGTCTCAACAAACGATCATACCCAGCTCATCGTCGTCCACCGACAGCCTCAACGACACTAAGTGAGTCCATTCGCAAATTCAATTATTTGTATTGGGTTTTCCGTTTTACTCGACTTTAACGGACATAAGCAATCAACATATTATTATAGTTAATACATTGTCCAACTAAAAATGAAATACTTTCCCGAAATGTGTTATTAATAATTATTGTTGTTCTTAAACTAACTATTCACTCGATGTAAAAAGTTACAAAAAAACTATAACTCTGTTGAATATATAGTACCTATTGTGCTAGAAAAGAAAAAATAACAAGTATATTAATATACATAGAATATATTTTACAACAATATAGCTACGCATCATTTTTTATTTCCTCATTGAGATATTATAATAAGATTTTCCATTAAAATGTTTTCCGTAATCTGTTTGTATCGATAGAGCAAACAAATTCTCTCCTTCTTGTATTAACTTTTTCGTTAAAAATTCATACATGTATGTTTTTATAACACGGCGCTTAGCATATGCAAAACATTACAGCGGGGCGTACAATGTGTTCCAGAATTTATGAATCAATAAAGGCGAAAGAAAATATTTTCCTCAGAAGGTCTGTATTAGATTAGGTAGAATGTTACTTATTCACCATTAAACTAATATATTTAAGTCGTGCAGTGGCCACCCCGAACTATTTTCCCAGATTTTTTAATTACATTTCTTTTAGTTAAAACAAAGTCAACTAATTAATTTTAAAACGTTTGATTTGGTTTTATCTATTATAAATGGTGACTATATGTGCGATACACCAGTGAATGTATGAAAAGTATTTTAACATTCCCACAACAGGAATAATTGTATGGGTTTCCTATGTGTTTAATAAACATTTACACGCCTACATAACACTATCTTGTTTACAATAAATACAAATTTTAAATGGTACATTTTTTATGTTTTTGTCGTAGGAATGTCAATTACAACAAACTCAATTATTTGGGCAATTCGATCAAGAGAAATGTTTTGGCAGACGACTGGTTAACGGCGGCGGTTGTAGCGAAAAATGGCCAAGACAATAGCAGGAGGAAATTCAAATACGATCAGACGAAGAGCAAGAAATTGCGGTAAAATCCATTGAGGGCCTTCACCTACTGTTTCAGCTTTTAATAATATTTATTTCTCCACCCACAGGTTCCAAAACAAAACCGTAAGCGACTGCGGACGATACGGCGAGTCGGACTGTAACGACGAAGAAGACATGGCGGGCTTCTCGTCTCTGCCAACACTATTGCACTTCAAAGCCGATCCGGTCAAAAGCACTGACAAGATAACAAGACGAGATAAACCCAGAAAACAGTCAAAAAAGAAATCCGTCACTTCCGACTGACCTTGAGTGTAAATTACTTTGCAGTGCAAAAACGTTTGAAACCCAAAATAAAGTACAACAACTCAATGTTCTACGAGGAATTATTCCATTACATTATGAGTAAAAAGACAAGTGACAACCTTAAAAGTCCCAATAGATCAACTGTAGAAAATCTAACGTTCATTTTTATTTGTAAAAAAATTGTTTTTTTAAATTTTTTATAACAGATTGTTTTTAATCCGCTTAGTAACTAAACCTACATATTATTACTATTTTTATGAGTATTGCCATTGAGTATAAATTAGATAATTTGTTACACTTTATACTTAATGGCATTGCTCGCTATAGTTATTATTATAGTAAAGTCTGAAGTCTAGACAATCTTAAATATTACAACCAGAGAGCAATGCGAACTTGATGGATTCCCATCGCTAGAAAAGCGTAAAACATTAGCAATACTTATATATGTACAATTTTTTTAAAATTAATATTATTTAAGTTATAATTAACTCAAACCATTTATTTTTATTTCTTTTTCTATCGCTTAATAAATAACAGATCTGTGATATTACCATTATGATTGAGTGTATGTAGTACGTTCTTAAGTTTATCTATTTATTATTATCGTGTGACCGATAAAAAAAAAAGTCTCGTTATTACCGACTTGACGACAAACACCTTATCGAGTATTCAAAATTAATACTGATATTCAGTTGAAACAATAATTATTATATAACACATACAAACTTTGAAATAAAATGTTGTTCTTAGGTTAGAAACTTCTTGCTCATTGTCATTCACTAGTCTGTAATTAATTATAGAAACAAACGCTTTATCTTTCGTAACATCTCTTCTTTTTTTAATATTTCAATGTTAACAAGTAAGAAATATACTTGCTCATTACTTATTTCATTATTTTTTTTTGGCAGAGAGTATTTTTATAGATCAAAAGTGTCTTCTTAAAACTTATTTTTTGTATAGTATAAAAAGCATGTATGATCATCAAAAATGGTATTTAACTCTTTAACAAAAATTATTTTTTACTCTAATAATTTATTGATGTTACAAAATAATATTTAAGCGTTCTATTTTTTGTCTACTTAACCTTTTTTTTAATTACTAAAATAGTGTGTTATAAGTAATATAAACATAATACAATATGTTGATAAACAGTTAAGTCCATTTGGGATGAACTATTGTGAATTGTTAAATAATTTAAATACCAAAAGTTTAACAACATAGAATATGTATTTGATTTGATTTCCTAATTTGTACAAGCATAGTGTTATTATAACTAGTTGATGACGCGATAGTGGTACATAAAACAATTAGAGTGCATTATATAATGTAACCTCTCAAAGGTGTTGTCATTATCTATTCCAAGTGAAACCCAGGATATTTTTTGCCTAAAATAACAAAAAAAATTTCATTAATAGAATATTTACTTTTACAGAATTAGTATTTAATCGTAAAAAATTAGGTGAAATTGTGTGGGTGATATTTTTTATGGACAAATGACAAAATAACATGTACAAGCAAACTCAGACTTCCCGATAGAGCTTATTGGTTTATTTTATTAAAAATCACTCACTGTCAAAACTGAAGCATTTACAACATCTTTGGCCACCCTAGTGTTACTCTCCAGCATATTGTCCAATTTTACACACTCTTTGATAGCTCGTCTTACAAAACTCCATGTTTCTATGTACTCTTGTGATTTATCCTGTAGGAAGTGCAGTTCACTAGATTTGTAAATGGCAGCTAAACCCACACGTCGAGTGTACCATCGAGTCTGTTGGTAATAACAAGAATGTATAAAATGTTAGGATTTTATTAGAGGAGATTGGTAGCTCACGTCTATCGATCGATCTCCCGCATGGTAGCATATGTCGTCGACTAATGTCATGAGGTTAGACACGGCTTTTGTTGCATTTGATGGTTTAGAAAGCAACGCCATGGCTTCAGGCCACTGACTAAGATACGGCTCAATCATCAGCAGCCTAGTTTGAATGGCACTCGACAGAAATTCAATTAATTCTGGTTTGCTATAAAAAAAAAAAATGAATAAAGAAACTTCAAATTGTTGCGAACATTAAAAAAATATGTTTACTCTTCTCCCAAACACTTAAGTTTGCCATCCTTTATGAGTTGTGACAAAGAATCATTGCAGTTTGAGTAAAAGTACAAAGCCAAGTCAGCTCCAGGGTCTTCGAACAATCCATGTATGGTGTCTGGATAACCGAGTTCATTGGCTCCTATTATACATAAACTTATTCAATAATATAGTCAATTAAGCACTAAAATTAATCAAACTTAAGAGCATACCGGCACAGACTGTATTTTTTGACCATCCATGAACAGATACAAAGGGCAACGACGACTTGAGTATTTTGACCTTTATGTTTTCTTCATAACTGTCGTCGGGTCTTTGATCTTCATAGATTTGCTCCTTTTCAGATGGTTTATCATAAGTGCTACATGTTTTCAAATGCACCGTTTTATTGAAACGAAACGTTGAACACAAATTACCCACTTTGGCAAAAGCACCTTTAAAAAGAACAAAGATAACAGCTAAGATATTATGTAACTTAACAGCATCACAATGTCGTTTTTCAAAAATAATAGTCATCTTTTTATTTTAATTAGAGTTTTTATTTAAGTTTAACATTTTCGAATAACTAAGGCATTAGATGAATTTAATTAAGAAATGTTTAGGTATTCAATTACCAGTTTTCAAATATAATACTTCTGCAGTCAAGCTACTTACTTGGTTTACCAAAAGTAAAACAAAAAAATTAATCATGATTTTTAGTATTCTAGTTGCAAGTAACCTATTCAAGATAGTATTAGTATCACAAGGTGCCCAACGAAAATGTACACGCTATAATTTTTTATTTTAGAAACTATAGCACTGATGTAGCTTATAAGAATCATATGTTGGAATTTGGTTATTAATAATGTTTTTATTATTCATTTTTTACATCTCAAAATAAAGTATGAAATTTCTTTCTAGTAAAAGTCTTATTTTATTTTACTTGCTGATCGTTTTTTTTTTTTACTACAGTAAAAAAATAACACAAAACATCAACTTCACACCATTTTTATTAAAAAAAAAAAAAATAATAATAATTTACAAACTCATCAAATAGTATATTTTTAAATGCACTTTAAATAATATTTTTAGTTTCTACATTTAATAATGCCTTTAAGTAAATCCAAATTAGATTGTATGAGCTTTATAGTTGTGTTGTACTGGGATAACATTTTCCGTTTTTCATTCAGCGACGGAATAGGTAAATTCTCATTTTGTACTTGTACCGATATGGTATCTTCTTTACAGTTTCCAGGGTTATTCAGTTTAATACTTTCTAATTTGTATTGCACTGCAGAGTAATCGATAGCATTTTGGACAACACTTACAAACACATCAAGATAATTTAAAAACGGTTTGTCCATACATAACCCATCTCCATTGTAACCATACAATACATATGCCAGTGTTATCGCTGCTAATACATGCTCTTTATTATTAATAACATCACATTCAGGACCGTAAGGTATGTTGCAACAGAGTTGCACCATTTCTAACAGACGTTTTCCTTTAAAGTACTGCGAGTCTTCTTGATTTTTTATTTTTGAGAATAAAAGTTGTTTCATTTTTATTACTAACTCCGCCTTGAGACCAGAATCGATTAATTTTGTAAATACTCGTCGGAATACAATATATTGTGCTTCTGAACACAGCTTGTCGATAAATAACATTAATGATTCAAACGAATCTTTCCTTACATCCAGTGTTAAATTATACAAAGAAGTATGAGCCGCTTCCATAAAAAATTCTTCATGATGCTTATTCAATGAATGTAAAGGGATTTCATTTTCTTTGTATTTAGTTAGAATCAACTTGGTAAAAGATTTGCCAAATCGATCATCTTCAAACACAGACATGGCTAAATTTGATAATTTTTCTAAAATGTAAAACCGACTATAAACTTTTGGATTCCATAATATGCCATTTTTTAAATAAAGATAGAAAAATGAAGCCATGCATTTGTTTTCTAGGATTCTTTCTTCAGTTTGTTCAAATTCATATTCTAATAAATAGAATGGATCGCTCAAAAGATTACGAGTAGTGTCTAAAAATGTAATAGGATCAATATTTGTACGCAAGAAGAGGTATGACATTTTAACGAAATAAAATAATGCAGAAAGTTGATTATTAATATGTTTTTCTAATTTCGTCAACATGCTTATAACATGGAGCAGGTTATTTTCCAAACGTATGGAATCCATTTCATTCAAATGGTTGAAAGTACTACTGAGCAAGTATTCCAAACATACCAGATTGGGATTTTCCATAGTATTTAAAACTGTAATAGCAATTGACACTGTGGATGACAATTTACAATCCCGCAAGTCTATTAATTCTATAAAGTCAAAAACGTTTTCTTGTAAATCTATGTTTTCAGCCATTGAATGTAAATGAACTTCACAAAAATTAAACAATTTCCGTTTTTCAATATAATTTGTTTCAGTCAATTCCTTGCTCAACAAATGTATTATGCCGTCAGCATGATATTTGGTAAAATTAGTGTTTTGATCCAATAGCGTTTTTGCTCGTGCTAGTTCATCATTCTTCAAGTAGGTTTGTAAATCGTCAAATTCCTTACTGTAGTCCATGTTGTAATTATGATTATTACTTTTAAGACGTTCACGATACATCTAAAAGAATAAATTATAGTTGTTGATAATTAAGTAAAAATTTTAACAAACTGATGATTTTAAAGCTAAGTAAAATAAGTTAAAGATAAACATTACATAAATTGTAACTAAGAAAAAAACTATGAACACACTTTGATAATAACCAAAGGTTGGTTTCACTTTTTAACATGAGGTAATCTCAGGGGTGCAAATGGATGCATTTGCACATTTTAAAATGGGGATGCAGTAGTATTTTTTCGACACACTTAAAATAACCATCTGACGCCAAATGGATAAGTTCATTTGGCCACAAATTTCAAAAAAAAAAAATTGAAAGCCATCCAATTATTAAGTCAAAAAGGCACTTCTACAGAAACTATTTGTTATACAATTTTTGCCATAACTCGGAGGAAGTAATTTTAAAAAATGTTGTAACTACTAGAAAAACATAATTGTTATTTACCATAAAATTCATTAGTTAATTTCTTGGTAGCAAATCATTGGCTATAATAATACATAATTTTTTAATTTAGTAAAAACCAATGGAGTGAGGACGTCATCCTGGCAACACCATTGCAAGTGAATCAATATAGTCTTCTTTCTATTTAGATAACCCTATTTAAAACTTTGAATAGCACAACTGAAATAAAACTATATAAGTCAGTCATTTTATGTAGAACGAATCAAAATATAATTTATTTTTATTATTCTTTTTTTTTTTTTTTTTTTAATTATTTACACGAATAATAAGATAACAATTTGACTTCCCTGTAACCTAAAGATTATTTTAATACTGGTGACATCAGTTGGCAGGAGCAAGCCGTACAAGCCATAATATAAACATTATTGTTTTAATATTAAATAACCACTTTTATACAAACATCCCATTATGTATTTTATATTAAATTGAGACCAAGATCTTATGTCCCTCTATGTCCCCCCGCTAAATCTAACCAACCTTTTTTTTTATATTGTGTATGTCACAAAGAACGTAAGTCCTAATTTATAACTATAATGCCATCTGAAGAATAAACAATTCAGTCTTAAGGCACTTGGAATTATTCAACACCATACAAATTCTAAAGTGTATAACGTAATACTATACCTACACTATAAAACCATGTTAGTCCTCCAATATTAAGACAATAAATATAAAATATTAAGTTAGTATCTTATAATTTACCTTTATTGGAAGGTTATGTACAAGATACATCTACAATCAAAAAAGTAAGCACACCACTACTTCAATCATTGCTCGTTTAATGTTATCTATTTATTATTTTGTTTTTTACTTCTTTATAACTTTTTGTATTCATACGTATTATTATCTGCAAAAGGCTGCTTAAAAGCATATTATTACACTACAATAGAATAAAATGTATGTTGTAAAAACTAAAAAATTGGAAATCACCAGGTATGTTGTTCTTTATAAACTAAAATAGTAATTATGATTTTATTGTTCGTTAAAAATAGTCATTACTTTAGTCATAATTTCAGCAGCATATTTTGTAATTTGTTTTTTTTTTTATATAATAAAATCAATACATTACACACTATATTGACAACTTGTTTCAATATGTAAAAAAAATTACACTCACCAACTTTTGAAAAGGCCCTGCGCAACATAATGAACATCAAAACGAGCTATTTAAATATTTATAATGTAAAATAAATACTATATTTTTATTTTTTTGAATATGAAATGTTACGCAATGTCGAATAAACAACTACAGAAAAGATAACATTATACCTCACGGCAAAGTGTAATTGTATTCGAGTACGTAAAACGTTTAAAGCGCTCAATAAAGCATAAAAATAGTGAAACGATTCTCGAAAACAAAATACTAGGTATGTCAGCAATTAATGATAACTGCGAAATGGCCGCCAGTATTATCACGCGACCGTATTACCATTAACTCCTTACCATGGACCTTACACTAGTGGTAGTACAAGTGGTATAAGGTCTATGCATTCTTTACGGAAAAGCGTAGCCGTTTTTTTTCAATATGGTGGATACTGGCGTAGATTGTTCAGCCGACACGTTTTTTCTTGAGTGTGTATTCTGTAAAGCTTTACAGCAGTGGCCGCCATATTGGAAAAAACGGCCATGTTTTTCGGGTGGAGAGTTACCGACCTAGTGATGAGATCGTGCTGCCAAATTTAAAACTTTGATAACACAATTCTCTGCGATACCTCCATTTAATCTCTTTTATATGGATACCTCTCTAGTGTGCCATTATTTGAGGTTATGTAGTTTTTATACAAATGCGATTCTCGTGTTGTTTATTGTGTAAACAAAATGTACAGATTTTTCAAATATTATTTCTCCTGTCCGATGTAAAGTTAACCGAAGATTAACTGTCAAAAATGGGTTCTTTCGACGTTCACAAAGTTAATTTCTACTCTCCTGAAGTTTTCTCGGTGCAGTGTATGTCTGTTGAAAGTGATAAGAAAAAATTAGCCATTGGGAGGTAAGTAGAAAAACTTATTCATTATAAACTAATAGCCATCGAATAGTATGTAGCTACATATGTATGTTTAAAGGTCAAACGCGTCAATTGAAATATGGGACATATCTCACAAACCACACGTCGACCGAACATTAATGTGCGACAGTAGTATCGATGGACTTGCATGGCACAAAGGAAGATTGTTCAGCTGTAGTGCTAATGGCACAGTTACCGAATATGATTTGCAAAGCCTTTCACCTATGGTAAATAACCTCAATTGATCAGATTCATCTATATGAAACTAAAATATTACAATTTTCAGTATAACAAAACTGTGACTTCTGGATCGTGTTGGTGTATAGCAGTACACAATAACAGTGAACGGCTCGCTGTAAGTTAAATTGTCTACTTCATAAAAATTGCAATTGTGATCAGCAACAGACTGGTCAGTAGAGTTAAAGAAAATACTCCCTGTCTTTTAAGATTGTTTGAATTGTTGACATAAATCTACAAAAAAATTAACGTAATATGAACTTGACCCTTCAGGCCTCACAAGTGGGCGCTGCTGCCCCATTGATAGAAGATCTTCTACCCTTCTTCATTATTTCACACTTCAAGCGAAGTCTGTAAAATATGCTTTTGGTTATGCCTACCTATTATACCTTACTATCTATTTATCTAATCTAAATCTAAACCTAACATGACTTGAGTTTCGTAATGGTATATTGTGTCGTTTTCCTGCAAGTTGTTTTACGCAAAAGCATATTCTTTCCTTAAAACAATGTCTGTATTCTAACTTGAAGGGATAGTAAATAAATTCAAAAAATAGTAATTGAATAAATTAGGATAAGATAGATTCTTAATTAGATTATCATATTTTGCTGGAAAGTTTAAAAATGTTAGTTACTGTCTTATTTGTTGCGAGTGTCACTATGAATTATAAAAGTCCGCTTAACCCTTACATAAATTTGAATGAAATTTGATTACTCTTATTTATTTTCCAGTCTGGCTCTGATTATGATCACCCTAATATTTTATTTATTTGTGTATGCATCAAATTACAGGCTGGAACACAAGACGGTTATATAAATATATTTGAGATAACAGATGATGGATTGACTTACGATAGATTAATGGACAAACAAGAAGGTACTAAGAAGTACAGTAGAATTGTATTAAAATAACTAACAATAATTATTGCTAATATTAGGGAATTCAAATTTCAATAATTAACTATTCTTATACTACCTTTTATGTGTACTCAAATTTCAGGACGCATAAGCTGTATTGCTTGGGATATAACTGGTGAATGGCTAGTTACTGGATCTGTAAACGCCATTCGTGTTTACAGCCGACGCAGTGGTCATGCTATACACAAATTGCCAACTGGTCAAACTGAGACTGTCGTTTCATCATTGGCTGTCACTAATGATTTCACAATAATCAGTGCTGACTCTCGGTAACTTTTTTTATAAAATATACACCTATATAATTAAGTATAATTTTTTTTCATTTAACAACAGCCTCAACAATTAAATATATTTCAGGGGAAAGTTATGTTTTTGGGATGGAAATAAAGGAACAAATATCGCTAATTACCAGGCCATCAAAACTAATGCTTTAACTGTATGTCTAGATGAAACGCAAACAAAAGTGTATTGCAGCGGTCAGTATGCATAAATGACTATACTAACTATTATTATTATTTTTTTTTTTAAATAAAATATAATATACAAATTTGATATAGGTGTTGACCCAGTCATTGTATGCTATGAGCTAGTTTCAATGAAATCAGACATTAGTGTAGAATGTAACAAATGGATTAGAAGTGTTCAACTAGTTGCTCATAGAGTTGAAGTGAAGTCTTTAATTCATTTTAAAGGCAATTTATACTCCGGAGGTAATAATATGATAAATATTTATTTGTAATTTAATGTGTTAATAAAAACTATTAAATTTATTTTTAGGTATTGACGGATATTTATGTGTTAGTAGTTATCCGCCAAAATTGTTAGTGAAATACCCTCCATTAATAAGTGTAAGTAATTGATTAAAATCATTATTACTTATTTATTAAAAAAAAATTATATTACTGAATATGTTTTATTTTCTAGTCTTCTATTGCTTTGGCAACCGATTCCAGGTACGTACTATTAAAATATCCAAGTCGTTTAGATATTTGGTACCTGGCAGACAAGCATAGGTATGAAAATAAATTGGCTAAATTGGCGACTATTCAATATTCTAAAAACGACTTTGTGAGGTGTTCAGCAATTTCGCCAGACGGCACGTGGATTGTTTATTCTACTGAAGAAAAACTAAAAATATTTAGTTTAATTATGGTATTTTCGGTTACTATAATATAATAATACTACTTACTATACTTGATAAAAAACCTGGGTATTATTTAAATAATTTTGTACAAAATAAAAATTCAAATAATTATTTTTAAAAAAATGTATTTAAAAAAGACAATTTAAATATATTTTGTTCAAATATCCAAATTTCTCAAATTTAAAAAAGTGATTTAATCGATCTTTAATTTTACTCTAAATAGGTACATGATAGGTTTTTTTTTTTTTTTTTTTTTTCCACATGCACCCATAGAACACTGGGGGGGGACGCGCCACATGATAGGTTTGACATTAAACAAATTAAAAGTAACAGGTTGTTTGAAATAGTAAAATAAAAATGTGTTTGACAATTATTTGTTATTTGTCATTAACATAAAAAATGCCCAGGTTTGCTTGGTATGTATTATTCAACTAAAATACATTTTTTTTGTCGTAAACAGGATACTATCACAGGTGAACCAATGATTAAAAAAACGAGCATACAACCAGTCGAATGTGATGTTTCCACTCAATTAGCATTTTCAGCAGATAGCAAGTACATGTGGTTTGCTACTAAAAACGAAAACACGCTAGTGTGTTTAGAAATGTCTCATAAATTTGATTTGCTAACGAAACACTGCATTGAAACTAGTTCACGTTAGTGATTGAATCCAGCTGTAATATTTAAATTAAATAACAAATATTTTCAATTTTGGTATATTTTTACAGATATTAAAGATTTAGTACATTTATTAGAAGTTTCCAAATCAAATGAATATGTTGTAGCTGCTGATAGACAAAGCAATATTATAGTCTATAGTGAAGGAAAAGTAAGTAAAAGAGAAGATTGGTTTACATATTATGTTATGTGATGAAAATATTTTTTTGCAGTATTACTGTACGCTTCCAAAATATCATTGTGCTCCGACTTGTATGAAAATTCATCCTATCACTAAAAATCTTGTAATAGCATATGCAGATCGAAAAGTGAGCGTTAATACTTTACGTTAATACACAAAAATGTAATTAATTATTTTGTTCATAATTGATTGTTAAAGGTTGTCGAATACAATATTGATAATAAAAAGTATACCAGCTATTCAGAGCAGTTGCTGTTGAACCCCCCAAAAGACTTATCTCATAGATCATTTCCTATCACCTCTATAGCATTTGATCCTTCAAAAAAAGATTCTATCATTCTATCCGATGACAATACTATTTGTGTTTTGACACACGAAGAAGTAAGTTGTTATATTGGCGATGTTAATGAAATAATCATGAATTAACAATGATTATTATACTTTCAGGAAACATCCGATAAACCAGAAAAAAAAATTAAAAAAGTCGAATCAAAAAATAAAAAATATTTTGTTAAAACTATACAAAATTATGAGGTAAGATAATACAGGGTGATTTTTTTATCGTGAACCACTCAATATCTCATAGGGTTTAGTAAGAAATCAAATTTTTTTTATAACGTTTTTATGAACTCACAATCTTGTTTGTCGTTCCGGGTGGAATCTTGCAACTCAAATTTTGAGCATTTCCCGATTAGCTATCCGGCTGAAACTTTCAGGGTAGCTCACAATTCGATAACAATGCATTATTAATCCACAAGAGGTTGAAAATTCCACCCCTAAGGGGGTTAAAATGGGGTCGATTTCTTGTCCGTCGTTCTGGGTGGAATCTTGCAATTCAAAAAAACTTATTTCTCACCTGCCAGCAAAAATTATGCGTGGTGCGTTTGGGCGTGAACGGTGCTCAGATATGAGCGGTACCAGGTTCAAACCCGTTCCCATCATTACACTTTTTTGCATTTCTTACAACTTTTATGATAATTTATACAGTAATAAATCTAAAATTATAAGCTTTTAAATTGATTACTAATTCTTATGATAATCCTTCTGACCATGCAGCCTTTTCTAATGTAATCACTGCTTACAAACGAAATGGACGGATTTTATTATATAATATTGTAAAAATATTATTTATATGTATATAATAATATGTATATTCATTATATAACATTGTACATTTAAATATATAGATACGTACATACGAAAACGAAAAAGAACAAAATAACTAAAGTAGATTAAAAAATTAATCTAAAAATAACGTTTTTATGCGCTTTAAAAAGTATGAAATAACTTTCCGGGGGTCTTGATAACCAAATAGGACAGGTGAACTGAAAAAACGTGGGGCGCAGCTTTACCACTTCACACGTCTGAATATATAATAACATTTTCTTCTCATTAATAACTACCTTAACTCATAATTCATGCACAATCATCTTTTCTCTTCTAAATAAAATAATACTTAATGACATGTCGTGTAAAATTAAGCACCACATTACTTTAAATGTTAAGCAAGTAGGTAGTTAACAAAAAAATTAAAGCAACCTACATAAAACAAACTTTGGAGAGAATAGCAGTTAAGTCTTTCCAATTCGCAATGAAATTTAAGGCAAGTGGCACGAAAATCCATTAAATTTCATTTCTGATAAAAAGTCATACTATCATTTTCTGATCCGTTCGGTTAGAGAGACAGCATTATGAGAGACAACTTAATGCATTAGCATGAAAGCTTAGGTTTTAATATCTAAGTAGAAAGATGCGCCCCACGTTTTTCTAGTTCACCTGTCCTATTTGGTTATCAAGACTCCCGAAAAGTTATTTCATACTTTTTAAAGCGCATAAAAACGTTATTTTTAGATTAATTTTTTATTTCCATATTGTTTTTATGCAATGTGGTCTCAATTTTTCACAATTTCTTTTGTTTTTACCCCCCTTCCAACATAGTTTTTTTGATAGGAACTTTTGAAACTTAAATGGTAACGTATATATTTTATTAAATTTTTGTACTAAAAATTTTGACTGGTCGATAACCAGTTTCGGATAATTATTTTTAAAATTATTGAAATCCTATGAGATATTGAGTGGTTCATGATAAAAATATCACCCTGTATAAAAAAAATGTTTTGTTATTAACTTTTTAGCTCTATGATTGTAATTTGTGTATCTTTTTAGCATTTGGTGTTCTTTGATTTTTTAAATAATGAAGAACTTGTAGCCGTAGAAGTAAGTCCCTGCTCGTTTGTCGAAAAGTTACCAAGCGTCTATAAGAAAAAAATTTTCGGTATGACGTAAGCAAAAAATATAACATTTATAGTTGAAATGTTTTTTTTATTAAATAAATTGTTTCTATGCTAAATTTTTACTATACGAGTTGTATAATATAAATATGAAACCCAAAAACTATCCTAAAATAATAAACTTATAATGTTTTGGATCTGGTTCGTCGTCAGGAATTAACATTTGAGGATCCGGTTTGTTACTTCTGTATGTTCCAAACATTTCTAAGTTGCAATTGGTGTGAGATGACCTCCAACCTATAAACGCTGTAGAATTAGTTTATTACTATCAACTATACGATAGTACAGTACTGTACAATAACAAGTCAATAATCATTTGTAATCAGTCTTATATGATTTTATAGATGAAGATTAAATATAATTGAAACAAACTAATAAATTAAGGCATAGACAAATTACTAATAAATTAAGATACAGATTAATGGCGTGTCTGTGTCTAATGTGTCTATTATTTCACAATGAACGCTTGCATCAACAACATTATAATATTTGACCAAACCCTTTACAATAATAATAGGGAACAATTAAGTGGCAACAATTAAGATTTTACCTCTTCAGGGAACCCATTTATTTTGTAGACAACTATGGTGATGTTAGGACACAAATCACAATAAACAAACTTTACTAGAACTCACTTAACCCCTAACCAAAATATATGACAAATTTAACTTGCCCATAAAAAAAATTATGTAATCACAAACATTCTTATAGCAGAAAATAAAAAATGTATGCTAAAAGAGTGCAAATATCCTTTAACAACTGAACATCCATTTTCAAGTTGATAAAACCTAACCGACTAGAACAAATCCTATAACAAAACTTTACACTTGCAAAGAATATCCGCTCATAGACATGAGACACATTAAAATGTAGAGATCTTAAATTGAAACCCAGGCCACCTTAGTGCAGCAACAGAGTTGGCTAGCGGAAAATCCGTAAATTTCCAGTAGGACTGTTGGTTTTATCTTCTATGAAGTTGGTACCGTTACAAAGAACACAAGCAAACTTTAAGCATTACCTTCAAAAAAAATGTTATGAAAATTTCGAATATTTTTAGTAAAAGTATTTTAATATTGTAAAACAAAAATTAATACTTCTGGATTCTTTTAATAGAAGATGTACAAAAATAAAGCATAGAAATGAAAAAAAACTTGTACACTAATTATAGTACCTATACATAATTATTCATAAATTAAAAAATTAAAAATCGGTGCAATAAAAACATACTGGTTTTTGTTAATTACTTTTTTATAAAAAAAAATGTCTGATACTATTATTAGTAGTAATGATACCTTAGGATAGTTTAATTAATTTATGTAAAGTTAATTATGTGTAAATATCTCATTTTTGATCATGTTTAAAACTTTGGTGAAGTCAGATTTAGTAGACCTAACTTACTTTTGAAGTTACCTACGAAACCTCTATTTTCAAAAATATTCAGTATGCTACGTAACTTCGTAAGAATTATCATTTTTTTTTTTTTTACTTTTTAAAGTTATTCAGATAAATGTTACGTTTCCAGAATTTAGTTGTACTCGAGTATTATAAAGAAGGTCTATGTCAAGTTTTTCTAGATTGTAAAATTATATTAAACAAATTAATATTCACGTGTGACATGATAATAGATAGGTATATTTTTTAATGTACCTACTGGACATATTTTTTCGTCAAAAAGACAAAGAATTCAAATAAAAATGTCCAGATTTTTTTTTAACGTATATTTATTTTTTCGTCCTATATTTGAATGATTGTATTAATTAATTTGATTTCTTAACTATGGGAATAGATTTATTTTATTATTATAAGAAGATGAATGTTTGATTTATTGAATTAAATACTTATATGTGACCTATGTGTACTTATATATGTTACTTGCAAACTTAGAAAATAGACTTGCAGCTTGCTAACTCTTGCAATTTGCAAATTACTTGCAAAGTTTTCATAGTATTTTCGATAAAATCAAACAATTTGGGTGGGCCAAGTTAAGGTACGTAGCCTCTTTACAGTTTTCAGAGCTGTTCTTCAATTTCAATCCGTTCCTAATGCAATAAATGATAAAACTAAATCTAATAGTAGCAATTGAAATTGTTTAGGAGTTCTTACCCGACGAAGTGTTGGGTATAGGCGCCGGTGACGGTGGCACGGTAATCGACGGTTGAATTCTATCTTGCTTTCGGGTTTTTTGTCGGTGACGATCGATGAAATCATCCGGCAATCCCAGTTTGACAGCCTCTTCGCTCCACATCTAGAAAGTTTACCAGTTCCAGTCTCATTACATTAGGTAGAGGATAATCTTATTTCGACGGTACCTACTTTGCACGATCTACGGAATAAATCCGACACGTGATTACGACTGTAGCACTATCGAGTAAACGAGTTAAAAGTACCAGAAAATAACATATAAGTCTTTTGTGAATGCACATCCGGAACACGTCCTAAAGCTGAGCATATTGCTACACGGTAATTTACGGTTGTAATGGCATCTCGGTACTATACATATTACATGTATAGGTTGATCCCAAATAGACGAGGTCGAGTGCCCGGATGTTTTTTCCTTCTCATTGTTGTTCGGATGTCTAACGAGCAAATGCAATTTCCCATCGATTAATCGTTTGAAAGCTATACGGTGATACTCGCATATATTGGATGTATTGCGTTAAAATCTAATTTATTGTTCTTAACAGATTTGAATAATGAATAGTACTCCTCATTAGCGTGATTTGATGAGAGCGAGGACCTGAGACGTTTACCCCGCCTTAGGTAGGTACAGAATGGCCGATCAATTATTTGGAAATGATTTTGAATTTTATTTAAAAGTTAATTAATGATTGCCCTTTTATACAAATCTATTTCGAAGGATGTTCATAAATCCTGGATTCTTAATACCACTTGATGAATAACTAAAAAATAAGTACCTATATTCTGTCTTTTTAAATATATATATATATATATAATTTTAGGTTAAACAATGATACTTATTTTGACAATATGATTTTATAAGATAAATAATTAGTAAATAAAACAAAAATAGCTAAGATGGATATTGTTGAATTTTTTAGGACAATATAAACAATATGAATTATCTAGTGTGGTTTTTAAGAGGTATTCATTTCCCTGGTAAATAAAATTATATTTGTAGAATAAAAATTTGTGAGCCGGGGGGTGGGGACTGAAGAAATATACACATTTAACCAGGACTACAAGCGTACAATATGTTTTAAAATGTCCATTAAAACTTAATGGGTAATGGCATACGTGATCTTATGCATATCTTTAAGTCATTATGTAATTTTATTTGTTTCCCTAATTTTAGCTGAAACTGAAAAACACCACTTGTATCGCACATGTTCAAATTCCGACAATCACTTTTGCGCCGTTAGCATTCTGCATTGTTGTCTGCTGTACTATTGTTTTCTGTTGAACTCTGCGTAACTTTTAATTAATAATAATAATTACTGTGTTCGGTTGTGCGTCATAATCCTTACCATTCCCAGCAGCCATACTGCTGTAAAGCCTAGTTTTGACGTTCCCAGTTAATCAAAACCAACCATTAAACAACAAGAACCGTTTAAAATTAAACGTTTGAGAATAGTCTAGCTGGATAATAACAAACAAAGGAAACGTTACCATGCTTATCCCAAAATGTTAGCCATTCCTTACGCATGTTATTGGGATAAGTAATTGCAATTTGCAATATTGTTTCCACTTTCCTAAGCTATATTCCTAATTAAATTGAGTTCGTGTCTGTGCACCGTAAATCTTACCTAATCTAAACCAGCTTTAGGTAGTTAGACATTGTCTTTACGGTTTACCGCAGTAATATAGTATTATACCAGCTATATCTTTACCTTTTCTACATTGCTCTTCGAATAGAATCCCCATCTTTCCTGCCATTTAACCCGCAGTTCTTTTTCTCGGTTTATTACGATTTTTCTAAAAAAAAAAAACGATCAAGTTTAACATAAATAAACTACTTAATTCTTAAATTAATCAATATTAAAAAATAAAATAAAAATGTGTAATAATATGTTGTCCTCACACTTACAGTCTACCGTCGCACTGTACTTTGTCTATCTTTTTCTTCCTCATCCTTTCTGAGTGACCGTTGTTGTTATTGCTATTATTGATTGGTCGTTTTAACGGTAATTGTTTATGCGACATGTTAGGTATTTTACAAAACGCCAAACGTAACTTAATATTGTATATATATATATATATATATATATATACTTATACTATTACTGCAATTAAATTATACATAATGTTTTATTAAACTGAGATCTTCGAGTGCTTGTAGAGCAATAGTGACTAAAGACATTCTATAAACATCGAACCAACTTCTTGTTGCTTAGAAACCGTCAAAACCGCATTTTAAGTCTTAAGATATTCAAATGACAATATAGAAAGTATCTAGAGTACTTATCTAGAGTATAGGTTTTTAATTGTTACAAAAGAAGATTGTAACTGCCCATGAAAGAACGCAGGATTGTTGTTTTTGTCATTTGTTATAACGCAGAACAAATTTGTACCTACTTTTAAGTAGAAATTTGTCAGATTTTTAGAGAACCACACACAAATTACGAACTCATGCGATTCGTGCAGAAATAAATAAAGTTTGACTTGTTAACGAGTAGTGTTATAATTGATTTTTAATTAATTTTTCTACTGTAGCATATAACAGTATCGTAGTACTTGGGTGTCGGCGACTTAGTTTTGTCCAAAGACGAATTCAAGTCAAAAGTTCCACTAGTAATCGATTGCTCGAAATAAAATGATTTCGCATAACTGAAAACCTTTGTTAGCATAAGGATGGAGTTATAACTAATATGAAACGCAAATGATACAAAATAAATAAATTTGTGGAGAAACTGAATAGTATTACACATATATAGGTATATATTTTTTTGATTTTCAGAGTACCGAATAAGTAATACATTAATGATTGTTAAGTAATTTAGTTTTACAACGACCCGGTACTGTAGCTATTTAGCAGACTCTACCATAGTTAGTTACAATTAGTCATGTGTCCTAATTTATTAGAAGTAAGTACAAATTATCAAATTAAATGTGTGCTAAATCCAAATTTGAATTTCTAATCAAAGGTTATAATTTATATTAGGTGAAACAAATTACTTGGCGATCATGTAAATAAGTCACCTTTTTTCAACCAACCAACATCTCGAAACACGTTATTTATTCAGTAACATTATACCACTCTTCTGCAGTAATAATATTCGTCTGCGGTTTTCATGATACTACTTTTTACCCGAGAATAATAATAACATTAATTGCTATTTTTTTTGAGTTGTGTGGTATAGTATGTTATTATTCATATAATATTATACGATATTTATTATAATTTATAATCAATTAAAAATAAATAAATATTATATTTTAAATGAGATATTTTATAGTAAATAACACAGTGGTAGTTTATTCAATATTCAAAGTAATAGTAAATAGTAATTTCACAATCATAATATTGATATTGAAAAATGTATTATTAAATGTTAACCAGGTAATGTGTTTCTATTACGCTCGGTTAGACAATTATATGACAATGCCAAAAAATCATTCAACGTTGACAAATAAATGAGTTTATCATAGGGCCGAACTAGCCTCAGTGCTTTAAACGGAATTAACTGATACTAAATGTTTAACTTAAAAAAATATTCTAATTCCTTACCAAATGTTCTTGTATACGTGTAGCTAAACAATTATATTAGTTTGACAAAAAAAAAAATTAGTTATATGGGACACCAGAATTGAGCTCAATCGTTTTAGACGACTGTTTGAACATATGATACAAAAAAGTTGATACTAGAGACTTTGTAAAATGTTATTACACATTGTATAAAGGAATGTTTTTAGAGAGGTAATGTATTGTCATTTGTCACATATCAGTCTGTCTCGAAACTACACGTCATTAGACAATTATAAAAAAGTTTAAAAATCGTTTATTTGCCATTATTATGATTTATAGTCAATACATTTGAATTAATTATTTCTAAATGGTAATTATAACGTTTTCCGTTTGAGCAAATTGATATTAATTTAGGTACCTTAACAAAAATATAATAACTTATAATACAAATTTTCTTAGAAAATTCCACATAATTGAGAAATTTTAAGTGTTTGTGTGTGAACCAGACCAGTTGTCTTGCTTGAGTGCGACTTCTTAGAAAGTTCATTCAGGTACCGCTAATGACCATAGCTGACAGTACAATAAATAACAGAGTGAAAGTTTTGGTTTTTATTGTGCTCTTCTAAGTAAAACACATTTTTAAATACAAGTTCGTAATTTTGGTAAAAATTTAGAACGACATTTTCGAACTTGATATATATTGTCTAGATACAAATGCTAGACAAATCGTAAGAAGTGAGAGAGTTTCAATATCACCTTTACGAAGCCCTTTATGAATTAAAGTTTTGTGATTTTACTGTAGGTAAATACATAGTGTAGTCTAGACAATATCTAGTGGTGTCAGATCTGTACATTTCAATCAGTCATAAGGTAATAATGGGACACAACTTTAATGAAACTTAGGGAATCGTTCCGGAGCCCGAAAGATGCTGCACCGAAATTACAAACACCAAAGAGTTATGAGATATAAAGTTTCTGTCGTCATTCGTACATAGGGTAGAACATGCATAGGTAAATAAATTATAAGCTAACCGCGAAGACGGTTTAGATTAGGGTGGTCCTTAAAAAGTCGATTTTCTAATTTTGACCCGTGCCCCACAAGGGTTGAAGTTTTAATGGGATTTAACATATCAGGATTTCGACACTTGTGCACAAATCAACGGATAACTTTCTTCCTACTCCTTAGTTTGAGCTGAAGTTTTAATGGTTTTATAAACCAAAAAACGCCTATTTTTTTTTTGTTAAATTTTTCATTTTCTGGCAACACTTTTGACAGATATGAACTTTTAGGTAAGGTGTTCGTGTTCAGCAGACTCTAAGCTATAACACCACCAAAGCTTCAGATTATACTAAGGATTAGGAAAAATGTTATGCATTGATTTGTATACAAGTGTTGAAATCCTAGGTTAAATTCCATTTCAACTTCAATCCTTGTGGGGCACGAGTTAAAATTCATATTTTTCCAATTTTTTAATTTTTTTTGATCTTATTTTTATTGTATTTTGAAACTTTTTAGGGGGGCGTCGAGGTTAAAATTTATTAATCGACTTTTTAAGGACCACCCTATAATATACATATTATATATTGTTATTGGTAACGTAGCCATTTTTCTACTGACTGGGAAGGGTTGTAAGACATATACGTTGACGGATTTTTTATGAACTTCAAAGAGTTCGAATATTTTACGAACAAAAAACTTCTTACAATATATTTTTAAGTAACTATAATTAATTACAATTTTGAAAATCCGGCAATGTACAGCCCTTAGAAGTGTTACAGCCGTGAGGATCATAATATTATGGGCGTTATATTGCTCTTAAACTCCTCAAAAGTCGTTAAGAACCGGTTTGCGTGACCACGCTTTTAACTTAAAAATGTATAGGCGTGACGCCATCTTAAGGCCTTGTGGTCGGAGCGCGTTTTTTTTTTAAATTAATGTATAATTTACATGTCGATATTAATAGGTACTTTAAGTACGTTCGCTGTGCAGCGGGAAAAGTTGTTATGGAAGGCGTTGTTTTTCGTCTTAGGAACGAATATAGACTAGACGGACGATATTTATTTAAGTGTGTAGGCGGTAAAGTCGTCGAGGGGTGTAGATATATATCCAGACTGCAAAAGAGACGGGCCAAGACAGGTGTCGTGACGACTGCGACCGACCACAGCCGCAGTACCAGCAGCAGCCGGGAAAACGCCTGTAGATGCGGAACGATAAGAGGATATTATTGTAAAGAATGCCACCGGTCCTATATCTATCTATATTATGTATAACCACCGACAGACGTTGGAAGTGTAACACTGTGGGGTTCGACGGAGACGGCGGCGACCGTATAGCGTGCTTATATAAATGCTGATATAATAATATTACAGTCGAGTAATCGCCGTCTAGCCAACAGAACAACCCCTTCACAAAATAAAAAAAACCATTTTAAAAAACACACACACAGTCTGCGATCTGGTAGACCATACACACAGACAGTCTATTATAAATGTGCCCAGACCGGTGGTTGGTGGTGAAGGAGTTCCAGGCAGCGATCGGGTCTGTTGATGCAGCAGGTAAAAAACGACGCATGCTTTTCCGGACGGCCCGTCTGCGCGTTCCCAGTTAAATTTATGTATAAAAACCTGACACTATGGTAGTCAGACAGCCTCCTCTCCGACCGCCACCGTCGTTCGGATATCGTTTCTAAAACTGAAACACGTTCAAATTAATATCTATAATAATACAAGTAGCCTAATCTACCCGTAACATTATATTATGCCTATATAAGTAGGTAATAACCCACTCGGTTTATGTGTTAAAACAATTAACACATAGCAACAACAACATAGCTAACTCATATAAACTATATGACAATAGTAAACTATTATAAAATGTCACTGACATTTGAATTGGGCGTGATAAGATAAAAAATACCAAGAAATGATCTACTATTATAATGTTAATATGATTAATTATTATTTTTAATTTTATAGCGTTAAGTTCAATATCGTTTTGTATATTTATGCATCTAATATAATATCATGTTGTAATAATGGGTCAAAATATGCAAGTAATAAAGCGTCTGTGGAGAATTTTACGAAAAAGCATAAATTATTATTTAATGCATTTAATATCTCATCTGGTAAAATTAAAAAATATCTGCACAATAGAGACAAAGAATCACTATTTTTTGTGGGGTCATTGGGCACGTTATAGGCTAAAAGCACATCAGATGTTGAGAAGAAAACCAAACCCAGAGGATGCTGGTGTGAAAGCATTTCCAACGCGAAAGATTTGGATATGAGTGAACACGGTAGATATGGATGAAAAGGAAAAATATGGGAGAAAACGCGAGAACTAAGAGGAAGAGTGTATATATATATTAGATTACACAGTATATTAGACTATAATAACTGCAATGGTATAGTCGGTTTTATCAATGTGAGCCTCTCCCCACCTGCAAGGGTAAAGGAGATTTTACAGAAAACTATTTTGTCTATATAAATAAAGACTAATGAGAGTAAGTAATTTGTC